ATAATTTGGCTATTGTTGAAAGTGCTGCTATAAACATTGGGGATCTATAGCATCCAGAAAACACAAGACAGTCTTAAGGATGTGCTGAATATTTTTTCCACCCTTTACAACCATTTTACTTCAAAAAGATTTCCATTGTCTTCTCATTGCTATCACTGAAGATGTTTCACCCACTGGCTATACACAGCAAAGTTATTTTACTCTGACCATGAAACAGAGCTATTTTATTCAATCTGTTCCATTATAAGACATTTTTTTTTTTAACTTGGTCTCTAAATCCCACTTATCCTTTTGACCATGCTATTCTGAGCAATCTAGAACTAAAAGAATAAAATGGGGAAAAGTCTCATTTTTTTTATTACCAGTGTTTTACTGAGCAACTATGTACCATGAATTGTGCTAAGCACTTTTGCACAGCTTCTCATTTAAATCCCAAAAGATCTCTATGAATTAAGGATTATTACCCTCTTGCCTTGGAAATTTTAAATACTTAACCAAGGCAAAACAGCTATCAGGTGCAAGAGTAGAATTTTCAGTCTAGGTAGTATGTACCTCGTACCAATGCTTTTTAGCCACTTTGCTATCTTGTCTCTTGATGTTGTAGGACCAATAGCACATTCTGAGTGGAGTACAAAGAAGCATGCAGGATTTATATGCTCTATTCGAAGGAAAGAGAAACTAGGGATTCCTTGAAAAAGTTCAACAGGTGTCTCTCAAGACTGAGTGATACCAACAGAGGAATAAGAGACCCTTGTAAGGAGTGTTCTTAAATGGTTGGGGGAATGTACACATGCCCAAACATGAACTGAAATCATGGAAACCATCTATATGAAGGGGAAAGTAACTAAAGGACATCATACAGGAATGGAATGGTGGTTAATGATGGCTCCTTATACTGAGGGTGACTCTCTATACTAAGTTTTACCTAACCAGATTCCTACACATTAATGATATGGTAACACTAGAGTGTGGTAGACTGAGGTTAAATATAACAATAAGCAGAAATAGATAAGCTCATGGATGTGCAAAGTAGTAACTCTGTTTGACAAAAACTGGCTGAGGGAGGTCCCTGATATAACTATAGATAGATATATCATCTATATCTATATCTATATCTATATCTATATCTATATCTATATCTAATACCATTATATCAAGTATATGTATAATACCTGGCCCCTAATATGACACACACACCTGGGAGTCACAGTTGTTAACAGGAGCTGGAATGACATGGACTTGATTTTCTTTTTATTTATTTATTTATTAAAAAAAATTTTTTTTTTAACGTTTTTATTTATTTTTGAGACAGAGAGAGACAGAGCATGAACGGGGGAGGGTCAAAGAGAGGGAGACACAGAATCTGAAACAGGCTCCAGGCTCTGAGCTGTCAGCACAGAGCCCAACGCAGGGCTCGAACTCACGGACCACGAGATCATGACCTGAGCCAAAGTCGGCCGCTTAACCGACTGAGCCACCCAGGCGCCCCTGGACTTGATTTTCAAATTTACCACCTGCTTGCTGTATGATCTTGGACAAAATATTTAATCTCATTTTACCTGTATTAACTGTCTTATATGGAATAGACATTTTTTTCTATTTTACAAATGGACAAATACACTCAGATTATGAATACTAGATTTTTCAAGTTAGTACTGGTACATACTATGCACATTAGGAAGTGTTTTCCTTTCTAAAGGATAAAGCTTGTTATTTGGAATGTCTTGGTGGTTTAACATGAAGAGGGAGTTATATGAATTGGAGAATTATAAAAACCTATTGGGGGTCATCTATGAAGGAGCCCTTAAGTTTTGTCTGCAGCTACTTAATCTACTAATTGAAACCAGCTCAACAGAAAATGCATGCTGAAAATTAGGGAAGGTAGGGATCACAAATATTTCCAGACAGTTTATCATCTTCTATGGAAAGTGGTAATGTTACTCTCTGATGACCTTCTTTTCCTGAACTCATCAATCTATTTGTTCAACCAGAAGGATGCTTCATTCATCTACTGTCAAAGCACTATACTGAAGATATAAAATATGACATGTTGAATCTTAAGAAGTTCATTGTTTCATTCAATAATTATTAAGTATCATGAACTGAACATACAAAGATAGAAGACAAACTCCTCTGTTTTCTCACTCATTCTTTGGAAACTGTTTGCTATGAGTACATGTATCTTTTTTAATATGCTTGTGGCACCATGGCAATGGGCCACACACTTGGTATAAGGCCATCAACAAGACACAGTTGATTGAATACAATGACATCATAGGTAGAGTATTAGAATGGTTTAGATCCCTCAGAGGTCAACATGGGAGATTCCAGGAAATCAGAAAAGGAAAGTTCAGAAAAAGGTACCTAATTTAGCCTCTGTGTGAGATGGAGAAGGGGCCATGGGCTGATATTTGAATAAACAGAAATTAGTAAGGCAAAGAATACTGAGGGAGATGGAAGTTGGAGCAGGATAAACTGGTCAGACGTCAGTTTTCTGATCCTGTAGTCCACGGAGCTGAAAATGCCACTAGTTGCTCCTAGCACTATACAGCTGGGAGCAAGTCTTAGAGGATTGCATCCATTTCTTACATCATTTTATGTGTTAACAGGAAAGCAGTCTCATCTGTGATGCTGGGGATACCCTATAACCACACAGTGGAAACTCCTGCCACCTTCTTCCTTGTGGGTATCCCAGGTTTGCCATCTTCCCATCTTTGGCTGGCTATTTCACTGGGTGCCATGTATACCATATCCCTGTTAGGAAACACCCTCATCATGACCGTAATCTGGATGGATTTCACTCTACGAGAGCCCATGTATTGCTTCCTGTATGTACTGGCTGCTGTGGATATTGTTATGGCCTCCTCTGTGGTACCAAAGATGGTGAGCATCTTCTCTTCAGGAGATGGCTCCATCAGCTTTAATGCTTGTTTCACTCAGATGTATTTTGTCCATGTAGCCACATCTGTGGAGACAGGGCTATTGCTGGCCATGGCTTTTGACCGCTATGTAGCCATCTGTAAGCCCCTGCACTACAAGAGGATTCTCACACCTCAACTGATGCTGGTAATGAGTGTGGCCATCACCATCAGGGCTGTCATATTCATGACTCCACTGAGTTGGATGGTAAGTCATCTGCCTTTCTGTGGCTCCAATGTGGTTCTCCATTCCTACTGTGAGCACATAGCCGTGGCCAAGTTGGCATGTGCTGACCCCATGCCCAGTAGTCTCTACAGTGTGATTGGCTCCTCCATTATTGTGGGCTCTGATGTGGCCTTCATTTCTGCCTCCTATAACCTGATTCTCCAGGCAGTATGTGGTCTCTCTTCAAAGAATGCTCAATTGAAAGCATTAAGCACATGTGGCTCCCACATGGGGGTTATGGCTCTGTACTACCTACCTGGGATGGCATCCATCTATGTGGCCTGGCTAGGGAAGGATACAGTGCCTCTGTACACCCAAGTACTGTTAGCTGATTTGTATTTGATCATCCCACCTACCTTTAACCCCATCATTTATGGCCTGAGGACCAAACAAATGCGGAAGCGAATATGGAGCTTGCTGACACACTGCCTCTTTGACCTCTCCAAACTGGGTTCATAAACACAAATTCCATGCAGATCTTGAGCAATCAAGATGACTCAAGATCAAGCATTCAAGGATACCTTAGAAATTTGTAGAGCTGGTTTGGTTTGCCTAGCACCAGAAAGAGTTCTAAGATGAAGCTGTAAAAGGTATTCTTGCCTAATTTTCCAGTTTCTAGTAAGAATGTGTACGGAATGATTAATTTTATGACAACGGCTTTAATGGTTTCAATCAACTAGTATCTGTATAAGAGATGAGTCTGGGCAGAGAATACAGATTTGGGGTTTTTCTTTCCTTAGCTTCTGACCCTTATGTTCAACTTAGTATCCTGAAAATCTCCCTGCAGACAGAAACCAACAGTTTAGTCCCCCCATACCTGGCTGATTTTCTCAGAATTGTTCATTTCTCATGTGATTATTATGAAAGCAACTGTTAATATATAACCCTGCCTTCTTGCCCATTGATGAATCCGCTCCGCTTGGGTCATGTTCTTATAACTCAACCAGAGTAATTCTCTAGTCAAACTGGATCCCAGTTTATCTGAGGAGATAATAAACTTGGGATCACTGATTGTGGTCATTTTCTAACACATGAACTTGGAAAGAGAAATCTGTACCACAGCAAGATATCAAATTAGCAAGATGGGATGAAGAAACCAAGTCTCTGGTTCTCTGATTCCAATTAATTTTGGACACCCAGGCACATCTGTTACTAAGTTTTGTAAGATACCTCTATATCCTTTTAATTTCTCTCCTATTGTGAAGCTAGTTGGAGTCAGTGTACTAATAACCAGCCTTTTGCTTTTAAACAGCAGAAATTAAGGCAAAATGAGTCTGGTTGTGGGTATCTTCCTCTTTGCTTCCCAGTCCTGTTCTGTTTAACTGAACTGTAAGGCATAAAAGAAAAGGATCAAATGTAACATAGGTCTTTCTTCATTTGGACACCACCATAGAAGTGTGCTCTGGGATGAGGAGGTTAATAGAAAACAGTATCAATAATGATGCTGAAATGTGACTATTCTTTTCCAGGTCACCAGATGTTGGTGTTTGGGTTTTGTTTTTATTTTTAACTTTCTGAGAGTCTTAAATTGAATAAGCAGTATATGTTAAAAGAAGGTTTCACATGTAAAAGACACATATATTTGACTCTGGTACATGTGAAAATCTATCTTAATAAAAGATAATTTCCAATAGTGTTATGATAAGTTATTATATCTGAATCTCAATATTTCCTTGCTACTGATGGAGGATATACAATGCTAATTCATAGAGGGCACTAAAGATTAAAGAAAATAATGAATAGAGAGTGCATAACATAACATCTGATATACTGTCTCTACTTAAAAAATATATGCCCCAAATTTCTAATTCTATAGTTTTAAGGGGTAGGTCTAGGCACTATTGAAACTGTATTCCCATGTAGGTCAGTACTCATGTGATAACTGTTCCAAATAATCTGCTTAACAACTTAGCATCCATACCTTTGGCAAGCACTGAAATTATTTCCCTACCTAGAATGTATTCTACTTCAGAACACCAGTGAAGTAGGAATCAGCTTCTAAAAACCTGATAATGATGCACTGAGTTCCCGAAGAGTAGGAGAAAGGAACCCCTCTTACAATCCTTAACATAAAAACAAATCAAGATCATGAAGTGGTTAAATGCATTTGATAAGATTTCCATTTTAAAATGTCACACTATTCTTTCCTTATAAGCAACTCAAAGAATTGACTATGTTCGTCAAATACAAGAATATTAGATGTATTAAAGAATCTGATGTAAAGTGACACAGGTATAGTCTAGCCTGCACTCAAAACAGAAATTTCTTCTCAGCATTTCCCACAGAAGTCTGCCCTACTTTATGTTTCATTCACATTGGTATTCCTTCAAACTAGCTGGGACCCACTGTTAGCCCTCAGATATTGAATTACATACTTTCAAATTGGACTAGTTCCTACCATGGCTACCCCAAAACAGAAAATCTTGTGCTTCTCCAGATATATCAGATATAACCTCAGCCCTCTCACACCAAGCAATGTATGCCATTTAACTAGTGCCTGGAACCTACACAGACTCTCAGTGTTTGGATATTAAGAGATTAAAATCAATCCTGCTTGGGGCACCTGGGTGGCTCAGTCAGTTAAGTGTCCTACTCTTGGTTTTGGCTCAGGTCATGATCTCATGGTTTTGTGAGTTCAAGCTCCACATCAGGCTCTGCAGTGACAGTGTGGGGCCTGCTTGGGATTCTCTCTCTCCCTTGCCCCTCCCCCACTCACATGGTCTCTGTTACTCTCAAAATAAATAAACTTAAAAAAAATAAATCCTATTTGAATAGACCCATAACCAGTAAAAAAATCGAATTACTAATCAAAAATCTCCCAAAAACCAAGAATACAGGGCCAGATGGCTTTCCAGGGGAATTCTACCAAACAATTAAGAAAGAGTTAACACCTATTCTCTTGAAGCTGTTCTAAAAAATAGAAATGGAAGAAAAACTTCCAAACTCTTTCTATGAAGCCAGTACTACCTTGATTCCAAAACCAGACAAAGAGCCCACTAAAAAGGATAACTATAGACCAATTTCTCTGATGAACATGGATGTAAAAATCCTCAACAAGATATTAGCCAACCATATCCAACAATACATTAAAAACATTATTCACCACAACCAAGTGGGATTTATACCTGGGATGCAGGGCTGGTTCAATATCCACAAAACAATCAATGTGATTCATCACATCAATAAAAGAAAGGACAAAAACCACAGGATCCTCTCAATACATGCAGAGAAAGCATTTGACAAAATACAGCATCCTTTATTGATAAAAACCCTCAAGAAAGTAGGAATAGAAGGGTCATACCTTGAGACCATAAAAAGCCATATATGAAACACCCAACGCTAATATCATCCTCAATGGGAAAAACTGAGAACTTTCCCCCTAAAGTCAGGAACAAGACAGGGATGTCCACTCTCGCCACTGTTATTCAATATAGTATTGGAAGTCTTAGCCTCAGCGATCATACAACACAAAGAAATAAAAGGCATCCAAATCGGCCAGGAAGAGGCCAAACTTTCACTCTTCACAGATGACATGATACTCTATATGGGAAACCCAAAAGACTCCACCAAAAAACTGCTAGAACTGATCCATGAATTCAGCAAAGTGGCAGGATATAAAATCAATGTACAGAAATTGGTTGCATTCCTATACACCAATCATGAAACCACAGAAAGAGAAATCAAGGAATCGATCGCATTTATAATTGCACCAAAACCCATGAAATACCTAGGAGTAAATCTAATGAAAGAGGTGGAAAATCTAGACACTGAAAACTATAGAAAGCTTATGAAAGAAACTGAAGAAGATACCAAAAAATGGAAAAATATTCCATGCTCCTGGATAGGAAGAACAAATATTGTTAAAATGTCAATACTACCCAAAGCAATCTACATATTCAATACAATACCTATCAAAATAACACCAGCATTCTTCACAGAGCTAGAACAAACAATTCTAAAATTTGTATGGAACCAGAAAAGACCCCAAATAGCCAAAGAAATCTTGAGAAAGAAAACCAAAGTGTGGGGGATAAGCTTGGGAATCCCCCGGGCTAACACCAATGGCTTAACAAAGCATAAAGAAATACAAAGTTATAAAATGCTCACACCCAAGTTTGGGTAAATCAGATTGGCACTCCAAGAATAGGGGGGTACAAAGATACCCCAAGAATAGGGAATCACAGAGGTGCTAGGAATAGGGAGATGCAAAGGCACCCCAAAATAGAGAGGGGGTACAGAGCCCCCAAAATAGAGAGGGAGAGACAAAGGCCTGAAATAGAAACAATGCAAAGGTGCCCAATAATAGGAATAACAAGACTAGATATTCAGGGTGAAAGCACCCCAAATTTAGTACTATAGCAGAAAGCTGCTTTCACAGGAGGATAGGGCCAGGTTAGGTCAATTGGTGAACGGGACTATGGACCACTGCGCTGCAGGCAAAGCAGCACAGAGCAGAGATGGTTAACAAAAGAAAAGGTGTCTTGTTAACCCTGAGGTTATTCACCCTATCTGTCTCATCCCCTAGGCTAGCAAAGATAAACAGGCGCGGTGCCTCCTGGGCACCTCCTGTCAGCCGTTAACAACCATCTACCAATCTGCCCTGCACCAGGATTTTGTTTTGTGTTGACCCTAACCCCAGACACTGTATATCTTCAAAATCCCCTTTTTCCCCCTCACATCCCCAAGTTAATGTTCACGGTTTCTTTGTCTCTTTGTGCACCCCCATCATGTTTGTAAGCCTTCTGATATGAATAAATACGGGGCAAGGACCCTTATTCAGTACTCTTGTCTTTTCCCGGACATTAGCCATTTCTCACTTTAATCCTGTATCTGCTCTTGTGCTGGCCAAAAGAGAACTTTAGACTTAGAGTCTATGACACCACAGCAGGAGGCATCACAATCCTCGACTTCAAGTTGTATTACAAAGCTGTAATCATCAAGACAGTATGGTACTGGCACAAAAACAGACACTCAGATCAATGGAACAGAATACAAAATCCAGAAATTGACCCATAAATGTATGCTCAACTAATCTTTGACAAAGCAGGAAAGACTGTCTAATGGAATAAAGACAGTCTCTTCCACAAGTGGTGCTGGGAAGACTGGACAGTGACATGCAGAAGAATGA